TAACAATAACACTTTTATATTCATCTACGTCTTCACCTTCATTTAATCCAATTCCTTTAATTTGATTAATAGATTCACAACAATTAATAAGATGGGGTGTTCCAACACTTTCATTTCCAACAAATCGTTTACTTAACTCTTCACCAACAACAGTTGGTTTTGGTAATGAAATAGTGAATGACTCACTTGTTATTTCATTCATTATTTCTTTTGTTTTAATTAGTTCATCAATTAGTTTAATCATTTCATGTGGTGGTGGTAATCCAATAAGATCATTAGGTAATTTTAATGCATTGACACAACGTAAAATGAGTTGCTGCCTAATTCCACCTGGTCTGGATGGTTCAATTTTTATTTTCTTTCCATTGGACTAGTATTGTTATTTGCTTTATTTCACTTTTGTGTTGCATCTTTTCATTAGTTCCAACATTTTATTACTTATTGTTTCTTTTCTTGCTTCAGTATTATTTGAATGATGATACACACAAACTTTAAACTCATTTCACGAGTTTAACCAAAAACAATATTATAAGTTATATGAGACACAATGAAAATATTTATCATAGTAGTTAATTACTATCTGTTTTGTTATAATACTATTTTCATTTATTTAATACAAAAAGATAATTCATTGTTTTGTCCATTCATTAACTATTAAATTACTGTTCTTTTATGCTTCAATAAGTCTTATTAAAATAGTCTAATGCCAGACATATGGATTTGTAAATCATAATCATTTTAATATTTAACAAAATGAGTTGGAACTAATTCAATAAATAATTCAATCAATGATGCTATGTTAATAAACAAGGAAAAAGAATTGATTGAATGAATGAATAACTTTTCTTTTGAAGAATGAGGATTAAATGAAGATGTACAATGAGTTAGTAGTTCGATATGAATTTGATACTATCCTATTTAATGATGAAGGTATATAATAATTATTCATTAAAACTAACTCATAAGAGACGAATAATTTCATACTGATTCATTCATTTTCACATAATAAAATTGGTCATAAACAAAAGAGGTTCTTATTTGGTTTATTGTTTTAATTATAAAGAAGAATTGATGTTATTTGGAGTGCTAATCATTTGGTTCATCGTCTGATGTTCTTTTAAAAAGACAAATGATAAAACATTAAAACTATCTCAAAGAATAAATTGAGTAATGTACTTATCATTAGTCTCGTAGTCAATATCTCTATTTTCATCTTCACACCTTTTAAACATAGTGCATATTGTTTGACAATTGTGGTTTGCAATAAAAATGTTTTTTACTGTATCAAACTCATCAGAATATTGAATGAAATAATATTTACTTGGTTTACTATGAATAACTTCTGCTTTAATTATCGTATATTCATTATTTGTTAGTATAACAAATACATTTTTCATAATCATCAAATCACTAATACTTTCTGTGGTTTGACACCACAGAAAATGGTTGAATGCTTCTATACTTAAAATACCTCCAGAAACATCCATATTTTTTATTCCTGACGTATCTCTAATTCCACTTCCTTCCTCATTGATTGCTTGAATCAATTGTGTTTCTGCTTCTTCATGATAGATTTCAATTATCATTTTTTCTTTTTTATCAATGAAAGCCTTCACTTCTTTAAGTAGGAATATGTCTCCTTGAATCATTTGATTTGTTACAACAAACATCTGACTTCCTTCACACTTCACTCGTTTCATTCGATGTACCTTCTCGTCTTTAAGTTGATTATTATACATGTCAACATATTTATTGTATTGTTCTGATGCTTTGACTAATAGTCCAATGGAGTCAAGATAATCCAAATAACTTTCATTATAAAAATATTCACTTTTTTTGTATTGTTTGATTATAATAGGAATGTCATTGTTATCAACCTTCAGATTTCCTTTGATAGCAATTCTTTTTCCTTTATCACTGATAATGTTCTTCATTGTAACTTGACATGGTGTAACTTTGTATTGTTTTGTTCTACTTGCAAATATTCTCATCTTCTCATATTCCTCAAATATTGGAGTGATAAGAACTCCTTCGAGGTTTGTAACTTCCTCCATATAATTTCCTAGTGTGTATGATGAGGGAATTAGTCCATTTTGAAGTATTGCTAAATCATTATAATTTAGCATTACAAATGGATCATCATAGTGTTTAGTAGGAGAAATGCATTGGAAAATAAAATATGGTTTTTGATTGAGATTGTTAATGATAGTGTTTTTCATTTGATCGTTAATTTCATAATGATAGGAGTATTGCAATACTAAATCAC